TCGAAATTGACTTGGTAGTTGTCGAGATATCTTCGCTCAAAGTATTAAAAATTTAACAAATTTTAATTTACAGGGGTGGGGTACGAATAGCAAAATTGGGGGTATGTGTAGCAGCCGCCTAAAATAAAAAGCCCATTTTACCATGAAAATATTAACAACAATATGCCAAATGCTTGATGAAAACGTTTTGTAAACCTTGGATATCCCTACCCAATGATTTAACATGATTAATTTGCTTAAACAATAAACAATAAAGATGTTAACCAACCTTATTAACTGATATCACAGATGCTTGTCCCCAAATAGCAATTAGACCAAAGCCTATGAAATAATCAACCATTAACTATAAATCAATTAACTGTAAAACTTATATTCACTGAATAAATACCTATTTCAATAAATGAAACGGTAAATATAAACAATCCCATCCTAAAGTTTATGAATAATTAATAAAATCAATAATAGCAAAAAAAAAACACAAAGATAAATATTATTTTTTATTTTTTATATAAAATAATAACCATGCATGTGGCGTTTGCGTTTTTACCACCGTAGAAATAGCAGCAAATCCGAATGCTGAAATTGAAATACCGCCCAACAATTGCATAAATTTATGAAGTTTAAGGTACATATTAAAATGCTATAAAACAGTAAATTCTACGTTAATAATACAGGTGAAAAAGACATTAGGAGTCTTAATAATATTGTATGAGGCCTACCTTACAGTACCGAACAATAAAAATCGATATTGGAAATAAGATGCTAAAAACCATAATAAAGATTATTGCTCATGTAATTTACCGTATTTATGAGAATTTACGAGGAATAAAAAAAGAATGATATTTACCACCATGTAAAGAACATTCCACATCCATGAATAACTTTAACCAATAATTGAAATATAGTCGCAGTTGCAGCGCTAATTTCACTATTATAAAAGTTCACACGGAACAACACGCGATTATTTAAATGATAAGAAAAAGCATTACTATTTGGATTATAAGCCATGATGTCTATATATATAATAAAAAATAAGTAATCAATATTTCATTTAAAGTATTATAAATTCTAATAAAATAGATATCACACATTTCATATTATCATTTGTAATTGGCTTTCTTCCCGGAGGACGGAGAAGTCTTTTAAACTCTACGGTTACAGCTTTATTATCAGACATAGAAAAATTTGGTACAAGATCGGGGTCTTGATTAGAATCACGAAGAGGAGGGTGATAACCGCCCACATCTGCATGATAATTTTCTAGGGTGACATTTCCATTATTAACCTTTAATAAAATAATACAAAATTTTTATATAATAAGATTTTCTTCTGTCCTTATAAAATAGATTTTATACAATATATTTCAATGTAACTTACAATGCCAATGATAAATTCTGCTCCTTTCATTCCCTCATCTTCAGGACCAAACCCCTGTAAGATTTAATATAATTAGTGGACTAAATAAAAGCCATATTCAATAATTTTGACGAATTAGTTTTTATATAATTATAAAAATTTTATAAGAAATTTTTAGGATTTTATATTTCCTTGAATATTGGGGGTCTTTTAAATTTATGTCACAAATTTTTCTTATATTGCTTGGCCATTAAAAATAAAAATGTGCCATAATATAAACTCACCATTCCGAACCATCCATTACCATCCGATGTTTGAAGTTGAACTTTAAAGTACACAAATAATAAATCAATCCTATAACTTATAATATATTGTGTCCAACTACTAATCTTGTTTGGATAGTTGTCATCATCACTATTATTAAGTTTCATTTGAGGTTGAACAGCCCAAATATTTGGTGGGAAGCTTATATTTTTGTTAAGATTACGAATAATAATGTCACGGAATGTGTGATATCTATTTTATTAGAATTTATAATACTTTAAATGAAATATTGATTACTTATTTT